CCCGGGACTTCGTCCGGTAGCCGCTGTGCCAGTCTGCCTCCTGTTGCCCGTGTGTCTGCAGCTTCAGCCGTCGCCTCCTATCTCCTCTCCTCTCACTCTCTCTCCTCCTCCTCGCTTGCCCGTTGTGACTACCACTAGCTTTGCTCATAATTGTTAACTTTAAACTATTGCTTCTTGAACTTGTGCTCAAAATGTGTGGTGACATTGTGATCCACCCTAAGCTTGTACTGCTTTGCTTACTCTGCTGATTACACCCCACTTTGGCTATGGGGGTGTGTCAGAATATTATGCTCTAGCCTGTAGTGGGGTGCTCCATAGCGAGTACAACCTTTCTAGGGTTTGCTATTTGTATCCCCATTCTTGCTAGTTCAATCCTCTTCTCTCTTCTAATTTTCACACACGCTGCCCCGGTCGACCACCGTGCTTCGCCGGGGTGACGTAGTTCATCTGCGCCAGGGTCTCCTGGGACTGCTTAGCCTCCTTCACCGCCTCATCCTATAGGATGTACGAGGTCAAGGTGTCCTCGTTGAGCGTTGCCCGCGTGCTCGGTGCCATCGACAGCCGCTTCAATAGGTTGTAGCTGCTCTGGAGACCCTGCATGACGTGCGTGACGTACAAAGCCGTCCAGTACTGCGCGCCGGCCATCCTTATGGTGGCAAGAATTCGCCAAGCTTGGTTGCAATAGTTGAATGCCGTCTCCTGGTTGCCCATACGCAGGTGCTTCAGCTGCCCCTCAAGCTAGGCGATGAACAAGTCGTCGGTGACTTGGTAAGTTGACTCGATGAAATGCCATGCCCGGTGGCCAGCGTGGAGGTACTCCCTATACGACTTTAGAGCGATCTGTATGCCTGGCGAGCAGCACTGCGAGATGACCGTGAAGGTCAACAATTGCAAGGCGCAAGACTCCGCTCGTAGGTCAGGGTAGTGCTCTTCCGGCGTCGCCACAAGGTGAGAGTTTCACTAGCAAAAGTTCACAACAATGATTGCAACAGCATTGACATGGAAGACTACATCAGACCTAGCCAAGCTGCTGGTCGACTGCCAGCGCAGCACCGTCGACCGCGTGCTAGCACGACGTGGTCGACCACGTTCCAACAGAGAAGAGTCGCGGCTTGCCAACGCTGCAGCAAGTCGGCTGCACAGCGTTGCACCCGCCTGACAACGGTGCACCAGCTTCGCAAGTGCGTATAGCTAGTTGGCGCCCAATGCCCCGTCACATGCCCAGTGCAGACACTCCACTTGTGACAGCGCCCACCAGCCACGTCGACCTCGGGATACCACCCCCGAGGTCGTCCTCGCAGAAACCACCCCGGCGGCCTTCGCACACGTCGCCCAGGTATCCCGGTCGACCAGGAAACCAGGACGACACCACCAAGTTGATGGTGTCATCCCCCGCGGCCCCCGCGGTCCCGCGGTCATCCCCCGAGGCCCCCGCGGCCCCCGCGGTCGTCCCCCGCGGCCCCTGCAATCGCGCGGTCCCGTGGTCCCGTGGCCCCCACGGCCCCCGCGGTCCCGCAGTCATCCCCTGCGCCCCCCGCGGTCCCGCGGTCGTCCACTGTGGCCCCCGTGGTCCCGCGGTCCTTTAGTCGTCCCCCGTGGCCCCTGTGGTCCCCACGGCCCCCGCGATCGTCGAGGTCGGCTCCGCCCAAGCGAGGACGGGGCCAAACACTACTCCCGTTGACCGTTACCTGAGTGATGAGGTTCTACGGAGGCACGATATAGTCGCCCAGGTGTTCGTGGCGAGGCCGACCTCAGTGGTGGTATCTCGAGGTCGACGCCAGATGCATTTGTCAGCACGAGGTTGATTTGGTGTGTGCGTTGTGCAGGTGACAAGGCACGGCACGCTAATCACCTGCGAGCACCTCCGAAGCAGGTGCACTGCTGTCATACAGGAGCAATGCTGGACGCCGTAAACCTGCAACGTTGGCACGCTATCAACTTTTCACTGCTGGAGCGTGGTCGACCAAGTAGTGCTGGAACGCGGTCGACCGTGCTGCGCTGGTAGTCGACCTGGTTGCTTGCTAGCTCTGATATTGTCTTGTTAAGAATTGTACCATTCTTGTCAACTTTTCCTAGTGAAACTCTTGCAATTCTTCCCCGTAAACTAGCAAGTAGCATGAACACAAGGAAACGACTAAGTGAACGAACGCTACTATCACTCTTGCCCTGTGCCTAGCCCGTAGTCTAGCTCTCGTTGTATTAGTTATCTCCGCATGGTGCGGTGAGCGTGGATGGCATCTCGCCGTAGTTTTCAGTCTAGTCATCTTAGACCGACATACCTAAGTTATTTGTAGGCCGGCAGCTGTGCGTTTGTGACCAGCATGGTTGGCGGAGGTGACACTGGTGTTGTAGACACCTTAGAGGCATGGCTGGAGGATTCAAGGAGACGCCATGAGGCGCGTGAGTACGGGGACATTCCCTGGGCAGTCGTCGAGGCTGGCATCCATGCCGTGTGGGCAACCGAGCACCCTTCTTGACCTGCTTCTCAACCGGTGAACGACGAGGGCGGCGTCGACTTGGGCGTCAACGTTGGTGACCAAGTCAGCAGCTTTGCGCTAGGCACGTTGAGGCAGCGAGGTGTGATACATGCTGATGAAGTCGGCGGCGTTTAGGCGCGAGGGTTGCGGTCGTCGACGGCTGCAGGCTCCTTGCAAGGCGATATCGGAGGTCGATGAAGTGGAGAGGCACCGTCGTCGTCGACTCAAGTGACAGCGGGCGGGATAGCGCCGAGCTACGGCTACTTCAAGTTTACGCCGGACAGGATCTCGGTCACCCCCCTGCTGGCCGGTCATGCCGACATCGTCACACGGAAGGAAGCCATCGAGCCTTAGCTCGAGATAGCCGGGCTGATGGGTTTTGCTGTTGGCACCGTGGCGACGCCTCCAGAGAACTGCCCCGACCTGCGTGCGGAGTTTCGCACTGTGCAGCTGCTAACCTTCACAGTCATCTCGTGGTGCTGCTTGTTGGGCGTGCAGATAGCGTTGAAGCTGTGTAGGGACTACCTAAATGCTGGCCACCAGGTGTGGCACTTCATCGAGTCGATGTACGAGGTCACCGACAACCTGTACATTGGCAAGTCGACATCGACGAAGGATGCCGACTCCTCTGATGGCGGCAAGGGGCGAGACGACAAGGAGGCGTCGTGCTCCCTTGTTGGTGACGTGGAGCCGACCGTCTTGCTGGCACTGGAGGCCAAGGAGGACTTCCAAGCGGTGGCAGCAGTAGTGCAGGCGAACCTGGCGGTGGTTCTGCTCGATAGCGGCTGCTCGCACCACCTAAAGGGGACAAAGGGCGTCTTCGTTGACTTGGAGCCGAGCGGCGACGTGAAACACGTGTGCGAATTCAATGGGGCGCTGCAGGACGTCCATGGCCGTGGCACAGTTGCTTTACAAGGGGCGGCCGGGGAAACGGGTGCTCATCCCCGATGTGCTGTACGTCCCGGGCGTGCACGTGAACCTGCTGTTAGCTGGTCAGCTGAAGGAGAACGGCGTGAAGCTGCAGGACGACGCCGATGGGATGCTATTTGTCTCGGCAACGGTCGACGTGCTTGGTTGAGCAGCGTACTCCAGCCGAGTCCTCTGCACCGACTTGCATCCCTGTTTGGCAACGAACGTTGCGGAAGTGGTGGCTCTGCGGACGATCCTCTCGGCGACGAGGTAAACGCGACCGGCTCCACGCGAGGCTCGCGCACGTCGGCATGAACACCATCCGGAACTCGGTGAAGCATGAGGTCGCCACCGGGTTGGACCTCAAGTCGGTGTCCGGCGCCGACTCCCCATGCATTTCGTGTGTCTGCGGGAAGCTGGCACGACACACCTTCCCCGACAAGGGCTCGGACGCCGACGACATGCTGGCCGTCGTACACATTGACTTGTGCGGGCCGTTTGTACTTCTTGCTGCTAAAGGACAACGGGAGCTGGTCTACAGGACAGAGACGGGGTAGGAGTGATCGTAGCGTTCGTTCTTTAGTCGTTTGCTTGTGTTCTAACTAGCTAATTAGCGAGGAAATGTTGGCAAAAGTTCCACTAGCAAAGATTGACAATAAAGGTTTGGAATGATTGAGAGCAATAAGGTTGGCAAGACTGACCACATCAGAGCTAGCATGCATGCAGGTCGACCTCCAGCGCAGCACGGTCGACCTCATTCCAGCGCTGCAGAGCTCGCACCGCTCCAACGCAGCGGAGAAGTGGCTTGCCAACATTAAAGTCAAAGGCGTGCCAACGTTGCAGCAAGGCGGCTGCACAGCATTGCACCCACATGAGAGTAGCGCACCCGCTTCACAGATGCTCGCATCTGGTTGGCCTGCTATGCCCCGTCACGTGCACAACGCAGATGCCAAGCCACGGCTACACCATGTCGACCTCTGGATACCACCCCCGAGGTCGGCCTTGCCAGAAACACCTAGCGACTGTCGCACTCCTCCACAGAACCCCGTCGCCCGGGTAACCTGGTCAATCGGGCAACCGCGTCGACTAGTTCCTTCTCCTTGTGCTCGTCGACCACCTAGGTCGACGAACACCACCGGTCTGTCAAACTGTAATTGTTATAGTTAGTTATTTTAGTCTAGGTGTTACACTGAGTTTTGTTGTAGAGGGTATAAACCCCTTTGAATTTGCTATATGCTCCCCTGTACTACTTGTTTCTACTCATTCATTATTCCGTTACCTCGTTGACATGGTATAGAGCAGTTCGATTCTCATGGGCCCACCGCCCCACGCTCGCCGTTAGTAACGCGTTACCCGTAGTGCCCCGTCACCCCTTAGGCCCCCCCCCCCCTGTCAAATTACGCGCTAGAGAGAGACCCCCCACGCGTTCTCGAATCACGAATTAGAAGGACCCCCGCGGGTCCCCCACGTCGCGACCTAAGAAGGCCCCGGTGGGCCCCCCGAATCGCGAGCTAGAAGGACTCCCGCGGTCACCCCCCCCCCCCCCCCCCCCCCCCCCCCCCCCCCCGCGTCGCCTAGACCTAGGAAGACCCCTGCAGGCCCCAAAACGTGTGATTAAAGGCCCCCCCCCCCCCCCCCCCCCCCCCCCCCCCCCCCCCCCCCCCCCCCCCCCCCCCCCCCCCCCCCCCCCCCCCCCCCCCCCCCCCCCCCCCACTCCCCCCCCCCCCCCCCCCCCCCCCCCCTCGCCCCACACCCCCCCCCCCCCCCCCCCCCCCCCCCCCCCCCCCCCCCCCCTCCCCCCCCCCCCCCCCCCCCCCCCCCCCCACCCCCCCCCCCCCACCCACCACCCCCCCCCTCCATAGCAGTCGCCGCAGCCCTTCCCGTCGCGTCCCTTCCCGTCTCGTCCCTTCCGTCGCTCCACGACGCCTCCCTTCCCCCCATCGTCGCATCCCTCCCATCGCCTCCCATCGCGTCCCTTTCCATGCTCCCCGTGCTCCCTTCCCCATCGCCTCCCATCACATCCCATCGCATCCCTCCCCGTCGCCTCCCCATCTCGTCCCTTCCCGTCGCTCCCTGTCGCATCCCCTCCCCGTCACCTCCCCGTTGCATCCCCTCTTTGTCGCCTTCCCGTTGCATCCCCTCTTCGTCGCCTCCCTGTCGCCTCCCCTCCCCCTACCGTCGCGCCCCCCTCCCCGCCGACGTGCAACCCGCCAGCTCCGTTCGCCAACCCAGTCGCGTCCCCATCCGCCAGCCCCGCCGCTAGCCTTGTCGCCAGCCCCGTCCGCCAGCCTCGACGCCAGCCCCGTCTGCCATCTCTGTCCACCAGCACCGTCACGTCCCCTCCCCATACGCCCTGCAGTCCGCCGGCTTCGGCTGCTACCAGCCCTCCAGAACCGCCCAGAAACGCCCAGAACCGCCTAGGACCACCCATGATCGTCTAAAACCGCCCAAGACCATCTAGGACCGCCCAGAACCGCCCAGAACCGCTCAGAACCGCCCGGGACCATCCAGAACCGCCCAGGACCGTCCACGACCGCCCAGAACTGTACAGAACCGCCCAGAACCGTTCCCCGCCACCAGAACCAGCAGCAGCTTAGGCTGCCGCCAGCACCAGCAGTGGCTTAGGCTGCCGCTAGAACCAGTAGCAGCATAGGATGCCCCAGCAGAACCAGCAGCAGCATAGACTCCCCCCCCAGCATAACCACCAGCAGCATAGGCTGCCCCTAGCAAAACTAGCAGCAGCATAGCCTGCCCCCAGCAGAACTAGCAGCAGCATAGCCTACCCCCAGCAGAACCAGCAGCAGCATAGGCTGCCCCCAGCAAAACCAGCAGTGTCAGCCGCAACGACAGCAGCTACAACACTCCCATCAATGGGGACCTGAGGGTTCTAGGAGTACCGGCCGCAGCAGCGGCTCAGGCAGTAGTGGGCGCAACGTCGGTCCCTGCGGGTACCGGATCCTGACTAGCCTGAAAGCTGGCACCACCTGCTAGAGTCCTGACCACTTTGCATCCCGTTACTACCATCGCCTCGACGACCTTCACTGTGAGTGTTTTGGTCCTCACGCTATTACACCGCACTGGCCCTCACGTCTTCACCAACACACTGCTGCACCAGTTGAGTCTCACCTACTTGGTCTAGCACCTTTCCCGGCTGCACGAGTAGAGGCCAGTGTTTCCAGTCTTGGTGCGTGTGTTGTTTCTAGTCCAGGTGCCTCTGAGGGTCTTTGTTTAGGAGCTGCAGCTACCACTAGTCTAGCACCAACCATTGTTGCTGGCTCAGGTGCGACCTCACAGCCTGCACATCTTTCCTTCACCCTAAACTCTGGAGCGTCCAACTGTTTCTTTCGCGACTGTACTGACCTCACGCCACTGCGCACTCCAGACACTGTCGCCTTGGTTGACCCCTCCGTGGGACCTATCGTTGCCCACAGCACCACCACTCTCTTGTGTCTGGCGGCTCCTTTTGGGTTTCTCATAGGTTACTACACCGCCTCATTCTCTAGGAACCTGGTGGGTGTCAGTCACCTCCACGACCCAGGTGTAGTCACTACTTTCCCACTGGACGAGCATGTTGCCTCCTGCATAGTCGGTGCCACTGGGGCCCTTTTGGCCACTTTCCACGGGGAGCCGGGCTCTGGTCTGTACTCACTACACACTAGGTCCCACCACACTGGGTCAGGTCAGGTCAGGTCAGGTCACGTAGTTGCTGTGTCATGCGACTGTCGGTCCCTCACCCACCCGTCGGTACTCTGGCACCACCGTCTAGGTCACCCGTCGTTCCCACGTCTCCGTAGGATGGTACGTCACTGTTTGGTCTCAGGTCTCCCAGAGTCGCTTGCCCCACTTCCTCGCTCGCTTGCGCCGCCGTGCACTCCTTGCATCGAGGATCGGCAGCGCGCTGCCCCTCACTCCTCGTTGCCCCCCACCACGGCTCCCTTCTAGACCTTGCACTTGGATGTCTAGGGCCCCTCCCCGGTCCTTGGCCCACGTGGGGAGCGCTACTTCCTGATTGTGGTGGACAACTACTCCCACTACACCACTGTTTTCCCTTTGTGACGGAAGGCTGATGTGCCCACTGTCCTTGAGCCATGGCTACTAGCATGGGTTGGTGCCCAAGGCCTGTGTAGGCTCCGCCTACACTTGGACCGTGGTGGTGAGTTTTCTTCCACTCGCCTAAAGACCTTCTGTCAAGGTCGGGGGATCATCCAGCCTTACATGCTACCAGCCTCGCCGCAGAAGAACGGTCTAGCCGAGCGATGCATCGGCCTGGTCATGGAGGTTGCCCACACCTCCATGTGCCATGACGGTGCCCCTCAGTTCCTGTGGCCTCAGGCAGTCCGCTACGCCACGCACCAGCTGAACCTATGGCCCAGTCAAGCACGGCCACGGGTGACCCGGTCTTCGTTTGGATAGGTTCTCCGGGCGTAGCAGAAATGGCATCTTATAGGTCCACAAGAACTTATGTCAACACCGTCCCACCACCTAGGGTGAACGTCGTTAGTGGCATGTGGCTCTACGAGGTGAAGCGGCCGCATGGATCACCACCGGTGTTCAAGGCACGCTATGTGGCGAGAGGCTTCAGACAGCGCGAGGGGGTAGACTTCTTCCAGAACTTCACTCCCACTTCAAAGATAATCACTCGTTGGGTGTTGCTGCATATAGCTGTTCAGCGCGACTATAAGTTGCACTCCTTGGACTTCTCCACAGCGTTTATGCAAGGGAGCCTGCACGAGCAGATCTGGCTGCGTTGTCCGCCTGGCTTCATTGTATCTTTCCTTCATGGGACCCAGTGGCAGTTGTGTCGACCAGTCTATGGCTTGCGCCAGGCTCCCCGCGAGTGGCACGACACGCTACGTACGACTCTTGCAGCATTTGACTTCTTTTCATCGTCTGCCGACCCGTCGATATTCGTCCGCCGTGGCTCGACCCCGTTCCTTGTTCCGGTCTACGTTGACGACCGGGTCTTTGCCACTCCCGACCGACGCGCACAACTGCAGATGATAGAGACTTGCACTGACCTTGGTGAGCTGCAGCGCTACCTTGAATTGCAGATTACCAGGGACAGGGCAGCTCCACCCAAGCGAGGACGAGGCCAACAACAACTCCCGTTGACACTCCCCTGCCGCGTTCATGCTTGGGCCTCCAGCCTTCACGGCAGCACTACTCGGAGAATAGCCCGTCGGCGTGCACAGAACACACAGCACGCCGGTCACCATACCAGCAGTGCATAAAGGCACGACACCTATTGCTGCACATTGTCGTCACCGTCGCCGACATCGGCCAGACGCACTTGGCCGATTGCGACGGAGCACTAGTTGAAGGCCAAAAAGTGCAGCGCCTTTGTCAGGAAGTCGGTCGGCTGCTCGGTGGTTAGGATGTACTTCAGCTTGAACTTCCCGTGCTTCACCATGTGTTGCAGCCAGGCATACCATCACTCCATGTGCTTTAGGTTGCCCTGCAGCCCCAAGCCCTCGGCAACGGTGATAGCCGACTTGTTGTCCACCAGAAGGGTAGTCGGCGTCCCGGCCTCCAGCTGCAAGAATTCTGCAAGGAGGAAGCGAAGTTGGCGTCCCTCCTCGCCGGCTTCAATTGCCACCACGTACCCCGACTCGGTCGATGACATGTCGCGCACTTGATGTGCCGGTGTGAGAATTACGAGGAATGAGTGACTAGTGCAAGGGTTGGGTACAAGTACAAGCCCTAGAAATGTTGTACCCCATATGTGCTACCCCACTACAACCTACACAGCCTAAGCCATATAAGTCTGACACACCTCCATAGGCAAAGTGGGAGAGAACAAGGGGTCACAAGACCAGTCAAGCAAAGCAAAGCAAGCTCAGGGTGGATCCCAATGTCACCACACATTCCGAGCACAAGTTCAAAGGCCACAAGGCCAGTTCACATGCAGGATTATATAAATATAAAGCTAAGCATGCAAGTGCAAGTGTATATATGTAACAGTACAAGCAAGGTCAAGCACTGAGCAAGTGAGGCAAGGTAGGCACAAGGCCTAAGAGAGTACAAAAGCGCTGATGATCACAAGGCGCGAGTGCCTTGGTGAAGATCTCAGTAGTGTTGGCCTGAGAGGCCACGTAAGCAAGGCGCAACTAACCACGCTGCTGCAGCTCACAAGCAAGGAAGTAGCGAAGACCAATGTGCTTCGTTCTGTGCACCAGTTCGTGCTCACGACACAGGGCCAGCATGGCCTTGTTGTCTACGTACAGAATTGGAGGAGAACGAGGCGGCTCTCCCAGGTCGGTCATCAGGTAGGTGAGCCAGCGTAACTCCTGTGCAGCCATGGCCCCTGCGTAGATCTCAGCCTCACAACTGGAGCCGAGAACAGAAGACGAGCGGGTAGACCGCCACGAAACAGAGCCGGAACCATGGCTGAAGGTGTAGCCCTGTGACGACCGCTGCGTAGCCTGGTCGTCAGCCCAAGAAGCGTCTGCGTGCCCAGTGAGGACCGTTGGACTCTGCCCTCCAAGCACAAGCCCCATGCCCGACGTACTGCACAAGTAGTGCAACACCCTCTTTGCCGCAGCAATGTGCTTTGGTCGGTGTCTCCCAGGAGCAACATAGCGTGCGAGAATGCTAAGAGGGTATGCAAGGTCAGGTCGTGTGCAGGTCATCAGGTACATGAGGTAGCCAACAAGCTCTGGGTACGGGCCACTCGACTCTACGGACTCATCCAAAGGCAGAGCTGAGAGGGAGGGCGAGTAGACAGAGGAGTGGCCTGAGGCGAGGAGTACGTGAAGCCGAAGCGCTGAAGGACCTGCTGCACCATGTGTGACTAAGTCAGGGTAATGGTGCGGCTTGCTCTGTCCCTGGTGATCTGCAAGCCAAGATAGCTGCGCAGTTCACCCAGGTCTGTGCACGTGTGTGTCTTCTGCAGCTCGGACTCCACGTGGGCGAGTCCAACAGTGTCAGCTGTGGCAAAGACCAAGTCGTCGACGTACATGAGGATGTAGAGCGGCGACAAGGAGTCGGTGCGCAGAAACAGCGACGGGTCGGCTGTAGAAGGAGCAAACCCAAGAGCCGCAAGTGTAGTCCTCAGTGTGTCGTGCCACTCACGAGGTGCCTGGCGGAGACCGTAGACTGGTCTCCGGAGGCTCCACTGGGTACAAGGAGGAAAAGACCCAGTGAAGCCTAGTGGGCGGCGCAGCCAAATCTCCTCGTGCAGGCTGCCCTGAAAGAAAGCAGTGCTGAAGTCAAGACAGTGAAGCTCATAGTTACGGTGAGCAGCAACGTGCAGCAGTACCCGAAGAGTGGTCATCTTCACGGTGGGAGAGAAGGTCTGAAAGTAGTCAACTCCCTGCCGCTGACTGAAGCCACGAGCCACGTAACGCGCCTTGAAGACAGGCGGAGAACCCGGCGGCCGCTTCACCCTGAAGATCCACATGCCACTGACGATGTTCGCCCCAGGTGGGGGAACCTCGTCAATGTAGGTGCCTGTGGACTTCCAGGAAACCATCTCTGCGTCCATGGCTGCCTGCCACTGAGAGGAGTAAGGACCCTCTATCGCCTCTGCGTAAGAGCGCGGAGTCGGGATGTCTGGTGCATCCGGGTCTCCCTCAGGGGCAAGTAGCATGGACATGAGATGAGGGGAAGCAGCTGCAAGACGCTGGAACTCCTCTTGCCTGTCCTCAAGGACGTCCGTGCCAAGAGCACACTAACCCCCGACGGACGGAGGACAGACAGACTGAGACTCAGCAACCAGACTAGCAGCGTAGTCTAGGCAACCGCGAGCAGCGAAGTCGACAAGCTCAGCAACCAAGGCACACGCAGCAGAAGACTCTAAGGAAGAGTCACTGACGTCAGTAGCAAGGAGACGCGTGACAGTAGGACTGGCAGCATGAAGAGAGTCCGACTCCGGGTCAACAAGAGCAGGAAGGGGGGACTCAGGAGGAGAAGGTAGAGGGGCACGCAGAGGAGCAGTGGACGGATGCAGAGACATCCGGTGCGTGCCAGGGACAGGGGGAGGAGGGAACAGACTCGTCAAAGGTGTCGTCCTAAGACGCAAAGACACGGCGCGAGGCGGGGTCGTAAAACTGCCAGCCAGGCGCGTCAGAGGGAAAACCAAGGAAGACACAGGGAATGGCGTGAGCGGAGAGCTTGTCCGCGGTGGTATCGCGGACAAAGGCACGAGCACCCCAGACCCGGAAACGCAATGCAGCGCCAACCTCCCCTGTCCACAGCAGTGTGGGCGAGGTCTCCGGCAAGGAGACATGGGGCCAGAGGTTGAGCTGATGCGTAGCGTACCGGACCGCAAACGGCAACAGAAAACGGGGGGTAGCCGCATGGATCATGGAGGTACAAGCGACCTCCATGACTAAGCTAATGCGGCGCACAGCAACCCCATTCTGCTGCGGAGAGGCCGGAAGCGTGAACGACTGGGTGATGCCGTGCTCCGCACAGAAGGCTGCCAAGAGGTCGGAGGAGAACTCACCACCTCTGTCAGAGTGCAGACAGAGGACAGGAAAGTCCCGCTCGAACCGCTCGCAGAGCTGGATACAAACAGCACGGATCCAGGGGATCGGAACATCAGGGACCTGACCCTTGTGCTGCAAGGGGAAGACCGTGGTGTAACGTGTGTAGCCGTCGACGACCAGCAGGAAGTACCGCTCGCGGACCCTGCCCCTGGACGCGGGCCGGACCCCACACGTCCAGGTGGAGAGTCCGCAGTGGAGCCTCTGTGGGAGGGAACGAGGAGGAGTGAGGAGAGGCGCGCTGCCGCCCCTCGACGCAAGGAATGCATGGCGGCGCAAGCGAGGGAGGGAGGGCAGGCAGAGACCTGGGAAGACAAGAGAGCGAGAGTGCATGCTACGAAGGCGAGGCAGGGAGGGGTGACCAAGGCGGTGGTGCCACAGGAGAGTGTCGTGTGACACGCGGCGACACTCACACTGGGTAGCTACCTAAGTAGACGCGTACAAATGTGGAGACAAAGGAGTGTAGCGTGAAGCAGTGGTGAGGGTGTACAGACCGGACCACGGCTCACGAGTGAACGTGGCCAGGTGGCGGCCAATCTTGAAGCACGTGAGGATCGCCACACGCTGCCCTCCAGGAGTCCATGTGTCAACCCAGTGATCCTGAAGGACGACGTTGCTCACCAGGTTCGTAGAGAACAAGGGAACGTGGAGACCTGACAGCTGACCAGACGGGACCGCCGGGCACGAAAGCACAGTCGTGGCTTGTGTAAGCACTGGGCTCCTAGAGGGGTCAGCCAATGAGATAGGGACAGGTGCAGGTAGGGGGGTGACGGTGGTACTGTCACAAAAGAAACAACAAGAAGCACCACAGTCAAGTTTAAACGTGTGTAAGGCCTGAGCTGACGCAGTACCAGAGAGGGCAGACTCACAAGCACCTAGGGCTGCAGTCTCTATACCTGGGTCAAGCGGGACACACAAGTAACAATCACCCTCAGCACAAACAGTCAATGCATACATGGCAGCAAGGATTGCATCATAGTCAAGATCATAGATAGATACATCACGCCTAAGCAGATCTGCCCAGTTGGGGAATTCAGTAGTGTCAGGAAACTTGGCGCGCCAGGCGTCGCTGAGCTGAGCAAAGCAGCGGTACTCAGCGTGAAAGCCGCCGCAAGGGCGCCCGTTACGGGGACCAGCGCGAATGATATAGGGGCACCGACCAGAACCCCCAGACGCCCCACGCCCGGCATACCAATCATGGAGCTGCTGAGAAGAGAGGGCCTGGAGCTGCTGCTGCTGCTGCTGCTGCTGCTGCTGCTTCTGCTGCTGGCCACCACTAGAGCTCCCCTTCTGGCTGGTCCCACTCCCGCCCCCACCTCCACCACCACTACCGCTGCCTCATCCCCCACTACCGCCGCTGCCACCTCCGCTACTCCCTGTCCCACCGCCGCCCCACCCACCTCCTCCACCCCCACGACCACCCCCACCACCTCCACCACCCCCGCCACCTCCACTACCGCTCCCTCCGCCGCCACCTCCACCACCCCTGCCACCCTTGCCGCCCGTGGCCAACCGCCGCTCTTCCCACTAGGAGCGGAAGCCGCTGCGACCTTCTCAGCACTGAGGAGGTCGACTGCAGCAGCAGCTGAGGCGTAGGAGGGGGCAAGAGGAGAGGGGGAGCACCCCTCGAAGTGGGGAGTGCGGGGAGTGCCACAAGTAGCACCTACAGCTAGAATATTCTTCTCTGCTGCCAGAAGCTGCTGCTCGAAGTCGTCGAGAGTGATAGGGTCCTTGGCAAGGAAATGGTCCCTGGCCGAGCTAAGGGTGTCAGGAAGGTGGGTGACGAGGATGTAGAGGGTAAAGTACAGCGAGGGTAAAGCAGCGCTGGGTGGGGTGCGCACCCCCACACTGCTCACTCGCACGGTCGCCGGTGCGTAGGACGTAGGTGCACGAACCAGTACCCCCACCCCGCTGGCGTGCAGCGTACCACTCACGGAGCTGCTGAGAGGGGGGGGGGGGGGGGGGGGGGGGGGGATGTCACGAGTGCGCTGCTGCTGCTGCTGCTAGCGCTGACCACCACCGGAGCCGCCCCTCTGCGGAGCGCCACCCCGACCAGCTCCACCTCCTCCGCCTCCGCCTCCTCCTCCGCTGCCACCTCCGCCACCTCCGCTCCCACCGCCACCGCCGCCTCCGCCTCCGCCTCCACTGCCGCCACCGACACCTCCACCTCCGCCACCACTCCCACTACCACCCCCACCCCCTCCGCCAGCTCCACCGCCACCTCCACCGCCCCCGCTAGCTCCTCCAGCGCCCTTGCCCCCCTTGCCCTTGCCTGTGCGGCGCTTCCCAGAATGGGCAGACGTAGCGCCGACCGACTCGAAACCAACGAGGTCGGCCGCAACAGCAGAAGCAACAGAGGGCAAGAGGGGGGAGGGAGAACACCCCTCAAAGACGGGGGTGCGGGGGTCATCACGAGAGGCTCCTACAGCGACTATGCTCTTCTCTGCTACTAGGAGGGCCTTCTCGAGGAGGTCAACGGTGAGAGTGGTGGGGCACACAGAGAGAAAGTGGTCCCTGACTACGCGGAGGGTGTCAGGGAGACGGGCGACTATGTAGTAGAGGGTGATGTACATGGGGGGAGGGTTCTTGGCGCAGAACTCAGCAGGAAGCGCAGTGCGGTAGCGAGTGTCACTAGTGCGGAGGTGCGTAGTGAGGTCAGTGAGTGTGGGAAAGGCAGCAAGGTCAAGGAAGAGGTACGGTAGCATGAGGCGGCTCAGTGCAGCAGTGGCAGGGGAGGAGTAGCGTGCAACTACAGTATCGTACAAGGTCTAAGCACTCTTGTGCTGGCTAAAGTGTGCACGCTCAGAGGTAGGGGAGGTGGCGACGCACAGCAAGACGTGCAGCAGCATCGCGCGTGGCCCACTGTGAGCGAACAGTGGCGTCAGCATTAGCAGCGGGGGCAGGAGAGGCACAAGAAGTGAGGTCAAAGAGGGAGAGGCCATCTGCCCCATCGCACTGTAAGAAAAGCTGCAGGTCATCTACCCAGACGTCAAAGTCAATGGCACTACCCCGGGCGTCAAAAGCGAGGACACTAGGGGTAGCCATGACAGAAGTAGACTAGCAGCGCGAACAGTAGGGTAAGAGCAGTGCAGGGGTAGAGGCGCTGCTCTTACCGGACAGGGCGGCTCGGGCGACTCGGCGGTGCGGGCGGCTCGGCTGCAGGGCGGCTCGGCGGCTCGGCTGCTGGGCGGCTCGGCGGCTCGGCGGCTCGGCTGCTCTGCTGCTGGGCGGCTCGTCGGCTCTGCTGCTGGGCGGCTTGGCGGCTCTGCGGCTCGGCCGCTCGGCTGCTGGGCGGCTCGGCGGCTTAGCTGCTGGGCGGCTTGGTGGCTCGGCGGCTCGGCTGCGCGGCTGCTGGGCGGCTCGGCGGCTCGGCTGCTGGACGGCTTGGTGGCCCGGCGGCTCGGTTGTTGGGCGGCTCAGCGGCGGCGGCTCCTGACTCAGGGACGGCAGTGGGGCCGTGAGGAGGCCGCAGAAGGCGGCTCGAGGGGCCAGGTGGGAGCGGCAACGAGGCCAGGTGGATC